AGACAGAGAGGAGGCTGTAAAAACACGTAGAGTCAGTCTAAGCGGCTCCAAGGAAAAGGTGGTGATGGATCACATGAAGTCAAGAGGTTTTCATCAGAAAAATCAAAAATAAAATTACAAAATGTATTTTAGATCTGCCGAAGTTAACTGCCGTGTTAGCTGAAAACATGTTTAAAATATATTTAACCTTTTTTATAATAATCTGTTTTGGAACAATATTTATTGTGGAAAACACTTGAATTGAAATAATTTCTCTTAAGTTAAAAAATATATATATAATTTCCAGATAATATATAAATAATTTGCTTTGGTTTCAATGCTGTTATTCATTATTTATATATATATATAATTATTTAATTCTTACAACACTGTCTATACGAGGAAGATGAAGATATTCTAGTTCTTTGTAAAAAGTAAAGTGAAATAAGTGGACACAACATTTGGTAGAGGTCTGCAAAACAAACAAAAAAAAAACAGATGGAAATAAATCAGTGAAATGAATGAAAAGGAAACCTGCCTTTTCATGAAGGACATAAAGAAAAACACAGTTGGACAATTTCCCATCTACACTCCTTCACCTAATGTGACACCAAAATACAGAGAAGGAAAGAAAGAAAAAGAAAAGAGGGATTTTACAGGGTGTTTTACGCAAATAAAAGCACCAGGTGAAGGGTGAACACCAGTCACCCACACACGTGCATCAGGGTGTAGCTCTCGCTTTTGGTTTGTACTGATGACGCTTGCCTGAGGTTGTTTCAGTGTCGCCAGAACTTTTGTTTCTGTTTGTTTATGCACGTCAAGTTCTTTTTTGAGAAGGTTTTAATCCTGAGGTGTGTCTGTGTTCTGTACAACACTATTGTACGTTGTGTTCCGTAAATATTGACAGCCATTCATGGATTTTCTTTCTCTTTCTTCTTCCAGTTTCCTATGGGATGATTACACCGTGGAGGTCCGCATTAATGACTACCTAGACATCATCTGCCCTCACTACACACGTGGCGAGATCCCATCCCAGGAGGCCGAGCGGTACGTGCTCTACATGGTGGAATTGGAGGACTACGAGAACTGCAAGCCACAGTCCTTCGACCAGCTGCGCTGGGAGTGCTCCAGACCTTTCGCTCCTCACGCTCCAGAGAAGTTCTCCGAGAAGTTCCAGCGCTTCACTCCCTTCACTCTGGGCAAAGAGTTCCGCCAGGGAGAGAGTTACTACTATATTTGTAAGTATCCACATCTGTAACTCAAAACTCAGTGTAGATCTTTGCAGCATTTTGGAACTGCATACCACAATTAGTAGTGATGTAAATGAGTAAAATCATTTTAATATATACTTAAAAAAGCAAAAATTTGGTTAATTTATTCAAATTCTGTTTAACAAAACCACTTCACTGCTTATTAATTTTCTTTTTTTTTGTCCACCAAATCAAAGTGCATGTGATGCGACCAACAAGTCAGAAGAATAAATACGTAACATGTAGAAACAAAGAAAATAGTGCTGGGCAACAATTAATCGTGATTAATCGCATCCAAAATAAAAGTTTTTGTTTATATAATATATGTGTACTGTATATATTTATTATGTGTATACTGTATAAAGACACACACATACAGTATATATTTTGAAAATATTTACATGTATATTTTATATTCATATAATTTATATTATATAAATATACTTAATATATAAACATAACATTTTTCTTAAATATATACATGCAAATGTGTGTGTGTTTATATATGCATAATTATACACGGTACACACACATATATTATGTACACAAAAACTTTTATTTTGGGTGTGATTAATCGCGATTAATCGTTGCCCAGCACTAAAAAAATTAAATAAAATAATAAAAATGCAAAAAAGTGCGTAAAATAAGAAATTTTATCATAGAGATGACCCCCTGAAGACCTTCATCATCATTAAGAATTTTATAAATATAAATTACCTTTAAAAATGTTTTTGAAAATAATTAGTAATGTATTCAAAGTGTGAGTTTTTCCATTTTTTCCAAACCTTATGAAACAAACATGACTACAAAATGTATGCATGTATTAGCATTTATAAGCACATTAAGTGTATATTTGTAGGGCTTCAGATTCCAGTTCTACATTTTTACTCTTGTTTTCCACAGCCAAGCCTCTTCACCATCATGGACAGGAGTGTTTGAGACTGAAGGTGGATGTAGTTGGACCTCATGGTAAGTCAGATCAGTTTTTTGCCTTTCCAGCAAGACATTTCTGCAAGTCTTTTACTGGATTACACAGGCAATGAAGCCTTACTTAGAGTTCAACTATATCATTTAATTTTCTAGGTTCCAAGAACAAGAAGAAGACCATGGAAAAAGATGAGGAATTAGAAGGGAAGATGGCTGCTGGTGGAGTCCATAACCCATCAAACAGGCTTCCAGCAGGTGAGCACTTCATATCTGTCACTCTTCTCCTCACTTTTCTGGCAGTGTGTCCATTTGCTTTAGAAAACATGTGGAATTTTTAGACTTCGTAAGCCAACAGAGTGACATTACGCAAGTTACATGGCCGTGAAATGTACTCATCATCCTTCTCTTCGTCTATTTCAGATGACCCTATTGCCATGATCCCAGTTGTGCAGAGGAGCGTGAGCAGTTCGGGTGTTCGTATTGCTCCCGTCTCAAGTTTCATCACGTTGATCTCTATATTCCTCTTCCTGCTTCTCCACTGAGCCTAATATAAGAAGACTATGGACGCTGGTCCGTTAGGACCCAAAAGACTGTAATGCCGGTGCTGGTTATCGGCTTTGAAAATAGATTTTATACGAAGAATTTTTATACAAACTGATGTTTTGGTGCTGGCGTGCAAGTTGCTGAGTGACATGTTTGTATTTGTGTTTGTGAGAGTGATGTGACCAGAGAAAGGTGTTTTTGAAGAACCTTCTCTTTTTTTTTTTTTTGAAGAGTATTTACCGTTCTCTGATTCTTTTCCCCATCAGCTCTTTTTGATTTACTTTTGTAGATTGCGTGTTCATTCTTCCTGAAAATTCATCACAAATTTACTTACCAATGTGATGCAGATTAAACCCTGAAGACCGGAGAGCTTGTCTTGTAACCATCATCAGCTGTATAACTGGAATTGTGATCACAAGGGTGAACAATAGGTTCGATATTGTGTTTGATTGAGACCTTCGCTCTACTGTACCGATTTGAGCCAAAGATCACAGGATTTATCTTAAAACTGACCCTGATCTTGCACCTTATAAAGAGTTGATGTTTGTGCATGTAACAGTGTTTGTAAATCTAGAAGAGTTATCAAGCATTGGTGTTTCCTGTGTTTTGGATCTCGTGATGCTGTGGTTTCAGTTGGTTTCTGTGATGTAATGTGAACACACCCTACAAAATGTACTGGCACTAATGTATAGATGAGATCAGAGTTTTTTTTAAACAACATTTGGTTTTGAACAGGAATGTTTGGTTGTGCTGTTTGTGTTTTGTGAGCGAGAGAGAAGCCGGACTTCTGACAGAGAGCACAACATGCATAAACAATTCAACGGTTTAATAAATTCTCTCAAATAAGTTAAAAGAACAATTTCTTTTGTAAAAACTTGTTTTGTACTGTTATTGGTTTATAAACTTGTAAATAGTTATGTAAAAATGTACATATTGAGAGTTATATAAAATAAAGACATTTGTTAATTATGAAAATGTGTGGAAAGTTTTGTTTTTTGTTTTTTTAAATATGTATAAAACAAGGGCAACACAGACATACTTTCTGTGAAATTTGTTGAGGCCTCAGAGTAAAGTTTAACACTGTCAAAACACTGTTAACACTCTCACTGTCAAACTTTCTTCCTGTCCTCTTTCATTCCCTTTTCATCTCTTTTTCCTGGCCAGGACTTCACAGCTTTTAACCAAACATTCAAATAGGGGTGAGATGAATGAAAGAAGAGAGGGGGGGGGGGATAGTAAAGTGGCACTTGGGTGCCAGGACGTAACTTGTGCATTTTCCTTGGCCTCAGCTTTTTCTTTGACATTTGAGAACATTAAACACAAGATACGTCTTCTCTATTTAACCACGTCAATGTAAAATTTATAATTTTGTTTGAAAGTATGAAGCGGGATGTTGGCAGCAATAACATCTAAAGATGTTCATGTGGACTCGCTATATGGCTGTTTGTCAGGTATGGCTATTTTTGGCACCTGGATTTTTAGAAATTTCTTGGGGAAATTTGTCATCCTTCGAATAAAATAACTGACTTAAGATAATTCATAGCTAGTATTTTCTGTATCCTCAACATAATATTTTTATTTTTGCAAAATTCGCCAAAATTACATTTTGTACATCTTATACTGTGATTTGTCTTGCCTTGTTTCTTCATAACAAATGCTATATTGATTATTTTTTTAAAAAGACATTATTGGCCTGGTAATGATTAATAGGCTAGTCTTATTATAACAAATGCGACAGTTAAGAACTATGGTACATGGCCTTCAGATATTCCAAAAGATGGCATAGATTAAATCATTAAAAGCCTGATGAACTGTTGAGTAAGAAATAAACAATATCAATATAAGAAAATGTTAAGTTAGATTGACTTCCCATGGCATGTTGATATATAACTATGATGGTACTTTATTGCACCAACTTTGCATAGATGGTATCACAAAACACCATTTCACAAAAATAAATATATAAGCAAACAAACAAATAAATAAATCTTATGAGTGAGCATGACCCGGGACTCTACTAAAACAGTTCACACTTTAAAATATTCAGTGTGGTTAAAACACTTTTCGTTATGCATATTGTTCATAACAAAAATCATGAGTCCTTAAACTCTTTTGGGCAGCTCTTCCCCTAAAGCTTGTACTTTTAAAAACTACATCTCACTATACAAACTATACTACAAAATCTCATTATATTCAAAGGAATATCTCTGGCAATCATCGTAAAATTAGACCTCTTATTTCACTACACAACCGGACTACAAAATGACGTCAGTGCGCAGCGTTCGGCGATAACCAATCAGAGTGAAGGAATCGATCCGCACTGATTACAAACACGGAAATTGAGAAGGTGGACGTCAGCGTTGCTCGAGTGGAGGATTCATAGGTTTTATGAATATAATTTGCTTCGCTTGATTGCACAGGTGTCTGAATAGAAGCACAGCTCATTTTTTCGCTTTTTCAGTCTATGGAGTTTCTGCAGCTGCTATCATGTGCGTGCATCATATTCACCGTCGGGATGTTCACGACGGGATTGTAAGTTACTTACGTGTGTTCTACTTGATATTTATAACCAATCATATCACTTATAATGTAGCTGAGCTAAACTGTACACACTTACGGGTTTTAATAATTTTCGCATCTGGTGACATCTCGCGCCTAATACTATTTGACTTCACTCAATCTTAATAAACAGCCTCCTCACAGTAATTTACCATGGTAACAAAAGTTTCCGCCAACATACTATACTACTTATTGTTACTACTGATAATAGCCAACACTGACATCAAGAACATCGCACATTATTAGGATTTTACAGTTGTACAAGTAACTGTAGTAATTATGGTATTTTGCCTGAAACCATGGTACATTTTAACAGCTATATTCTGTATGTGTATGTAAGTCGAGCATGTAAACATTTGGAGGTTGTGCAGCCTGAAGCACAGGAAATTCGCCATATGTGTTAACTTACAGTGGAAATGATAAAATATATGGTTTGCATATGCATAACTTTCTGTATCTATGCTCATCTTGCAAGATAATGTTCCTCTCATTACATACATTTCCTATCTGCTTTTGCAGGACAGACTTAAAGAAAATGAAGGCCACACAGAGTGCAGATAACATACAGTTTCTGCCCTTCCTCACCACATGCTTGAAGTATGTATTTGATATTTGACACTTGTAGCTTTCATTCGGTAATGTTGTATATGTGAATGCAACTTCATGCATGCATGCATTGTGCATGGATTTCAGTTATGCTTGCTGATGATACACGGGGCAACTTTTTGGGCAATGTTGCCATCAACGGGCAACCAGGTGAGACACAGGGCCCATGGCCAATCTAAAATATCCAGATAGAGTTTTGTTACCCATTCTCAATGGGAAAGTGCCCAAGCAACACTGTTCAAAAAAATTTGCCGGCAAAATTGCTCAAAAAGTTGCCCCGTGTATCATCAGCCTTAATCTGAATGATCATGTTTCTCTGTGTGTGTGTTTTAGTAATCTAGGTTGGCTGTACTATGGATTACTAAAGGGAGATGGAACGGTGATATCTGTAAACATCATTGGGGCCTTTTTACAGACCTTATACATCATCACCTACTGTCATTATACCAAAGACAAGGTTTGTCATTTAGCACGGTCTTTTTATTAATTCTTATTAATTATATAGTGGGGTCCAAAGTCTGAGACCACTACCTTCTGTTTTGCATTTTTAATATTTTAATGTAAAATATTAATGTAATATTTTAATTACAAATGATGTGATCAGCATTACAGTTTGATTGAAAATTTGAAGTGAAAAATGAATACACCATTTTTTTTTATTTCATATTACATTATCGGTATAACAGTTTGAATGAATTTTATTAAAAAATGAAGTTAAATATATTAATATCAAGTTAAATTATTAAGATGATAATTTGTGTGAAATTTATTTTACAAGTGAACATTATTTTTACAAGTTACATTATAAGCACAACGTTTTGAGTGAAAATGTTAAAGTTAATACAAGCATTTTAATTACATGTTATATCATCAAACTACTAGTTTGAGTGAAAAATTGAATTGAAAAACTTTAAAGTTTAGATCCATGTTTAAGTCAAATTTGATCCGAGATTTTTTTTTAATGCGTGCTCAGACATTTAAACCCCACTGTATACAACAAATAAAAATATCTGAAATAATATGTTTTATGAGTGATCAGAAAATAGTCCAAATGTGCAAAATAAATGGTAAAATTACTTTGCTGAATCTGCGTGTGTTTCAGAGGCGAGTGTTCTCGCAGACACTGGCGATGGTGAGTGTGTTGTGTGTAGGCTGGGTGTATTTTACTGTGGTTATTCCTCCTGGAGAAGCTCAACTCTCTCAGCTGGGCCTGGCCTGCAGTGTGTTCACCATCAGTATGTACCTCTCTCCACTCGCTGATCTTGTGAGTACACACCAATACATTTAACCAGCATTAATTCTGTTTAAATACACAGTCAGCAATTGCCTGCACATGTTTACTAAGAATTACATTGCAGTAAAGCACATGAACATGAGAAGAACATATTGCGAAAGCACCACAAGCTTGTATTAGCATTGTAGCGTCTTACCAGCACAGTCAATGACATTTCTAGAGTAGATTTATGTAACTTTTTACTTATCTCACTTGCACTGTGTTAGAAAATTAAAGGAGTTATGCATATGTAATTGCATTCATTTACATGTTAACTATGTTAAAAACAATTGTTGGTCAAGGTTCATTTGTGTAGGACTTTGAAAAGTGCTGATGGAAGTGCTGCACATCAGATAAATAAAATGTATAAAAAATAATAAAACAATATGATAAAATAATTAAAAGAATGATCATGAATAAGCCTGAGAAGAAAAAAAATGACAGGAAATGCACCTCACAATAGAACATATTTAAATATATTTAATTGCATACATAAATGTGTTATTTATATAGGACTTTTAAAACAGTGCTGACACATCAAACATAACACAAAATAAAACCATATAATAAAATACAAATATGATAAAATAACAAGGCTGATTATGAATTGATGGCGGAGGGAAAAAATGACAGGAATTACACCACATAATAGAATTAAACATATAATTGAATCCATCAACCATGTTAATCATGTTAAAAAACGATTGCATACAAGAAATAGTCACCTACATTTTATGTTAACAGTGATTCCCTTACATATCACATAAAGCATACATCAACTCTAAAATAAATGCACATGTTCCCCTTATCTCTTCCTTTGTAAAAAATAATGGTGTGGAGTCTTGTATTGACATTCCAGCATTTGTTTATCACTCCATTCATCCTTCTTTTCTGTGCCCTCTCATAGTCTCCATCTTCCTGTTTTGGATCTCTCTCTCTTCCATATTTATCAGTCCAGCTCTGTCTATCTGTCCTGTGCCCTGTGGTGTATTTCCTGCCATTCTCGTACCTCCTTTTGTTGCTTCCTGTTTTTCCCTCCGTCACTGTCTGCAAGTGTCAATATCTGCTTGTTATGGGAGAGACTATGCGTGAGTGTAAATAACATGTTGTGGTTGGAGCTGTGCACTTCAGATTTGCTGATCTTTGGTGCTTAAGTGGAAGACACAGGTTTGAGTCTTGGGTCTGTGTCATGTTTCAGTCTGCTTTCTTCCCAACATTTTCTGTCGTCTCTGTACTTTTATTTCTTTTTTTTTATAATAAACGGTAGCAAAAGCATTCTCCTCTCAAAAAAACATTTGTGTTCTTCATTTCCACCAGCTGGATATTGTGCGAACTAAGTCTGTGGAGCGCTTGTCTTTTTCCTTGACCGTCGCTACATTTTTCACATCAACATCATGGACGCTGTATGGCCTTCAACTACGTGACTATTATATCATGGTAAGATGATGAAGAGACTGATCTGAGACAGTGGTTTGAGGTGAAGCTGAGCATCATGTTTTTTGTTATTATTATTATTATTATTATTATTATTATGTCTTTCAGGTGCCCAACACCCCTGGCATCTTTACTAGCATCATTCGCTTCTTCCTCTTCTGGTGGTTCGGAGCTGTCATTACAAACAAGTCCTCTTATAAACTGATCCAAATCTGAGAGAGGATTTAGATTGAATTGAATTAATTGCCTTCTCTACTTTCCTTTACCCAAGCCAGAAGACATTCTGGTTTCCTTCACATCTGACTTTCATGATACCATCTGAACTCAAACCTCTAGTGAAACTGTCACTTTAAATTCTGAGAAGACAGACAATTTTCACTTTATCTTTGTCTTTTTAGGCAAAGGCATAGTTTACCCAAAAATGAAAATCCTGTCATAATTTGCTCATCATCATGTTATTCCAAATCTGCGTTAGTGATTTTCTTTTGAGGAACATCAAGTCAGTGGTAAATCAATGGTAACCAAAACTGTTCAGCTGCCAACATTCTTCAAAATATCATCTTTTTTTATTCCACATAAGTAATAAAGTCTGATAGGTTTCGAATGACATGAGGGTGAGTAAATGATGACAGAATTTTCATTTTTAGAAAAACAATCCCTTTACAACATGTTTCCTCAAAAAAAAAAAAAAATACAAACTGATTTTACTTCTTTATATTATTCCAAACCTGTATGACATTTTTTCTGCTCACAAAAGAAGACTTTTTTTTATCATTTTAAAAGACATTTTCTGCATGTAATTGCAAAGAATTGGAACGGGAGCTTTCAGTGTTTAAAAAAGACATCATACTATAGTAGTCATCATATCATTTACTATATTCCAAGTTTTCTGAAGCTGCAAGTTAAGATTTGAGAAACTAAAAATCTTGATCTTAGCTCTTCTTGGCACCTGTTTCATGAACAGATTATTCTCGGTCTTTTTAATGAATTTGTTCATTCAACTGAATAACTCCAGCTCAAGTATGACTGATCCAGTTCTTGAGCTCACTGGAGAGGAATATTATCAGACTATCATATAGCTTAAAAACTGAAGCAAACATGTCTTTAAGATCTATTTTATGATCCTTGTATATCATGAAAGTTCCTGTACACTTTTTTTTTTTTTGTAATTGGGTGGAGAAGAATCTCCTCAGAATGTCTTTCGTTGTGTCCAGGAAGACAAGTAAGTCGTACAGGTTTTGAATGACATAAGGGTGAGTAAATAATGACAGTACATTAATATCTTTTGAATTTTAAAGGGGTCATATGATGCTGCTAAAAAGAACATTATTTTGTGTATTCGGTGTAATGAAATGTGTTTATGCGGTTTAAAGTTAAAAAAACACATTATTTTCCACATACTGTACATTATTGTTTCTCCTCTATGCCCCGCCTTTTTGAAACGCGTCGATTTTTACAAAACTAATCGGTCTGAAAAGCGAGGTGTGCTCTGATTGGCCAGCTATCCAATGCGTTATGATTGGCCGAATACCTCAAGCGTGAGACAGAAATGTTACGCCCCTCACGCACCAAGAGCTTGTAACACTCCAAAGAGAAAGGAAAAAATGAAATCGCATCATATGACCCCTTTAAGTTCTCTGAGTGACAGACTATTTTCACTTTATCTTTTTGGTTAATCCTTGTATGGATGAGGATGCTCTGTTTGTTTGCAGGTATTTCTTAGTTAATAGGTGTTCAAATCTGCAAACACAACACACCTTTAACTGAGAACTCAAACCTGTTTGTTCCCTTATTAAATTAACCATATTTTTATTATAGTAAAAGTGTAGTAACCATGTTTTTTTTTGTTTGATTACCACTTGAATAACCAAAGTTTTACTACAAATACTGTGGTTAAACTATGATTAGTGTAGCCAAACCATGGTTACCATAATTTAACTACTTGCTTTTTTTTTTTTTTTTTTGAAGAA